AGAAAGGGCTTTCTAGGCCGCTGGTTATATTTATAGCTCTGTAAGAAGTCGATTGACAGATGACACAATTAACACTTTTTGTGTCCTACGATAATTGTTTCAAAACCAAAGTCAGTTTTTTAAAATTGTTTTACTTCAAATAATAATTTAAAGAAAGTATATTAAAAAATACGAAGAAGTTTTAAACTGGTTATTGTATAATTGTGCCATTGATTAAACAGATTCATGATTGTCATAATTATAAGAATGAGACTGCTTGGCGAGTCTAAAATACCTAATTATTGTGTTCTCAGATGATAAGCTTGATTTAGTTAGATTTAATATAAGTTACTTACATAATATAAGTTACATTACAAGTTATCATTAATGTCATTTGTGAAATCTAGTAAGTGAGACTGAACTTAACCGCCCGTCATTTTCTAATTATTACTAAATTAACATAACAATTATAATTTAACTAGTTACAATGTACTAAATTTTTATTTTTGATTCAATTAAATGTTGATTAATTATAACAGTGTAAATGAAGTTGATTTCATAAGAAGTTAACGCTTTTTTTATAAACTTAGTAATACTGACTGTTATACACGTGATTTTGGTTTGAAAAAGCAAAATAGCTTTGATGTGTCCAATCCGGCCGTATCCGGTCGGATTGATAGTAATCTGACCGGATTGAAATTGGTGCCCGATTGCAATCCCTAATAGGAAGCGAAAATTTTAATTATTCCTTCTCGCGTAAAATTATAAAACAAAATAAGAGAAATATTAGATTTTTACTATCAATTCTGAAATCCTTTCGCGCGACGGTAGTGCAACGGTCAGAATAGCTGTTACCCGAACAGTTGATCCGGGTTCGACTCCCGGCCGACGCAATTGCATGAATATTATTTCAACCCAATGGTCAGCAAGATAGGAAGCGAAAATTGTAATTGCTCCTTCTCGCGTTAAAGTATAAAACAAAAGAAGAGAAATATGAGATTTTTACTATCAATTCTGAATTCCTTTCGTGCGGCGCTAGTTCAACGCTCAGAATAGCTCTTTCTCAAGCAGTTGACCCGGGTTCGACTCCCGGCCGACGCAATTGCATAACTTTTATTTCAACCCAATCGTCTGGAAGAAAGGAAGCGAAAATTTTAATTGCTCCTTCTCGCAATAAAAGTATAAAACAAAAGAAGAGAAATATGAGATTTTTATTATCAATTCGGGAGTCCTTTCGCGTGTCAGTAGTTTAACGGTCAGAATAGCTGTATCCCAAACAGTTGACCCGGGTTCGACTCCGGGCTGATGCAATTGCATAACTTTTATTTCAACCCAATGGTCTGCAAGATAGGAAGCGAAAATTGTAATTGCTCCTTCTCGCGTTAAAGTATAAAACAAAAGAAGAGAAATATGAGATTTTTGCAATCAATTCTGACGTTCTTTTGCGCGTCCGTAGTTCAACAGTCAGAAGAGCTGTTTTTGAAACAGTTGACCCGTGTTCGACTCCTGGCCGACGCAATTACTTAACTTTTAAATCAACACAATGGTCCGCAAAACATAACGCCACCCTTTACCCCCGATATTTATAACTACGCAAAACAATAATTGTATTTGTTTCTTTTCGCGATATATGTGATCTTTACTATTATTTTTAAGGCCTCTTACGCTTCGGTAGTTCACTGGTGTGAAAAAGTGTGGAAAATTGTATAGTGTGAACAGGTTGACACTGATACACTTTTATTTGGTAAGCTAAAAAATTATTTTACCAATGGAAATAATTAGAACTAATACACTATGTTTATGCATTTGTCAATCTTATATAGGATTTCAGTCGATTTTTGGTCATAAATGAAATAATAAAATATTTATTACACTTTTATAGTAAAAATGGATTTGTAGCAATCTGCCCCATAGAACGGGTACATTGATACACACGGAAATATCGAAAATAATTTTGGTTAATAGGTCATACATCAAAACAAAATTTGTTTTTTCAATAAACTTTATATTCTAAATCAAGTTTTAAAAGTTTAACAAAGAAACAAACTTTTATTTTAATAAAATTTCAACATTTTAAATGAGACTGGAAAATTGAAACAATGATGCCTCAGAAGATAATTTATCTCTACAAATAATGCAAGAGAGCTTGTGAATGTGTGTCTGTGTATGTAAATACACTTTGAAGGGCGAAAATATGTACCTCGAAACCGTTTTCTGAAATTTTAATGAATTAAAAATTAAGGGAAAATTTCACGTTCTTCTTTGATGAATTACGAAAGAAAATTAGCATAAAATAATTTTCACACCAAAAATTATGTTTTTGACGATATGAACTGAACTTCGGTACAAGTTTTCTCTCCTATTTTAATAATTCTTAAAAAAATATTTTATACTTAATTTACAACAATTATTTTTATTTTTGCAATGAAATTCAAACTGTTTCATAGTTTAAACAAATGCTTTATTTCGTGTTTCTCTTAGACAGTTCATTTTTACATTTTTCCCATTTCTGTAGATGATTTTGCAAAGTAGTTGCTGCTAAGGTGCATTGATACACACAGAAGATGTGTATCAATGTGCCCGGCAGTCAACTGTATCAATCTGCCCCAAGAGACCTTTTTACTTAAAACAGGTGGTCACGCAAAATCAACGCTAAAAAACTTCAAAACGAAATATAGTTTTGAAAAATAAATGTCTTTTCCTACCTTTGGAATAGATTCCCTGGCAGGAAAACGTTCTTCATCCAACTTTTTCACCGTTATAGTCAACCCAACAGATTACGAGAACAAAAGCAGTGAAATTCATTTTCATCCCCATAATTTTCTTCTCCACAATCAAATTTCATTTGCAGAAAATCACAGAGACTCAGGAGCCAAGGTTATATATACTGATGGATCTAAAACGGACGAAGGCACTGGTAGAGCATATTGCATTCTAGAAAACTATGGAATAATAGCCTCGTGGCAAGGTAAACTTGATCACAGCAATTCGGTTTTCCAAGCTGAAATCCTTGCAATTAAAAAGGCAATTGAAGCAGCTTCTTCCCTTTATAGACCAATAAAAATTTGGACAGACAGTTTGTCAAGTTTGATGGGCATGCTATAATATGGTCCGAGAGATTCAAACCCTTTTGCTCTCCCATAAACACATTCACCTGACAACTAAAAAACGACTCACCTGAGTCGTTATTTAGGCAATGAATGCGTAGACCCATTAGCCAAAGAAGCCGTCACAAGCGGCGATCCTTTCTTTACTACCTGAAATCTGAGATTAGGTCAGCTGCTTTAAGCATCTAGCAAGACAACTGGGATAACGGAGAAATTGGCCGCAGAACACACGATATAGTGCCTAAGGACTCAAACAAGCCAGTATGATGGAATAGATGAAAGCTAATGATCGTTACAGGACAAGTCCCTTCCCTTCATACCTTCAATCTTCGAACACGTGACAACTGCTCGTGCGGAGAAGAAGGAGATCCAATGCACTATGCCACAAAATGTCGGTTCACCCTCTCCTGGCATTTCCAAACTCCTACAGAGTCACTTAAATTACAGTGGTTGAAAAACATTTTCACGAATAACTTATCAAGAACCCGACTTCGACTCCTAATGCGCTTCATATGTGATGAGAACAATCTAGTTGTAGAGGATAATCATTAAGCACTCATCCACCAGACTGACACACACTTACGGCTATTTATAACTTTTTTTCCCTCTAAGTATTTTTATTTTTTCTATTTTGTTTTGATTTCTATGTTGTTCTGACCAGTGTATGTTCCTTTTTCATTATTATTTGTTTTTGTCCTTTCTTAAAACATAAAATTCACCTCTATCCATCCAAACCGGAAAGGAGCCGTTTCTCTCTAAATGGCTCTAAATACGGGATGGGGTGGTAATGCTGTAATGTAATGGCAGGAAATCGTAAGTAGTGAAAGAAATCACAACACGTACTTTAGAGTAAATTTATTTCGACTAGAAGATTAGCGTTTTACTAAATTAATCTCTCGACTAACATGGCCGAAAAATTTTACCGTGTGCTAAGGGTTACATCGGTATGTAAGAGGGATATTAATTCACCCACCACATTTTCTAAACCACTCAATGTTCCCGTGTATCAATCTAACCCTTCTCTAAGTCTGGATTCAATCTTGGTTACAAATCAGAGAATATAAATAAATTTCCAACAATTATAAAATTTTAGTACTTTGGAACAGATCATAGCTCTTTTGAGAAACTGGATCTTTATCCAAGGCGGCATTAATAAAATAAAATATTGCATTTGGTCCTTATTCTGAAATTAATAAAGATTAAGCCCGATGTCAAAACTGGTTCCAATGAAAATGTAGGTTCATCTTCGTGTATTATCAAGGTCATACAATAAATCTTGATATTTTATTGTGTATTTTACCCACTAATACATTAAACCATTATAATAGTTTATTATAGAAATGTTATTTTTATTATAAATACTCCAGTTAGGTGTTGTATCCACAAATTAAGCAGTTCCAGAATGGCGTTCCATACTTCACTTTCAAACCCCTTTCGGCTAATATGTATTGCTTTTAACTGAAAGTGCTTTTATGATGGTACATATATTTTTATTCTTATTTATGTGGAAAACTTAGAAAGTATCTCTTCCTTAGTGATATTATAAAGTTATGTTTAGAAATTCAAATTTTTATATTTTGTTAAATGTGCTAAGTTCAGCTGTATTCTCTAACTGGGGAAAAATCATTGTGTGATGATATTTTCGTCATGGTTCTGGATCTGGAAACTTTCATATAGATACAGTAAATCACTGTTTATACGTTTCTATTTATACGTCGTTTCAGCACAGTCCTTGATTCATTCATATTCATTGTAATGATAAAGCATTGTTTTATACGACGCAAAGCTTCTGGTTACACGTCATTTTCCTGTTCTGAAAACGAAGCCCTTTCTAATATGCGACAGATGAAGATACGATGACTTGAAATTATTCGCTAAGTATTGCACTAATCTGGTGCTAATTTAAGTGATGATGAAGTTTGTCTCCACCTTCTTTTAAAGACGCAATGGACGCCATTGAAAAAGGTCGAATTTATTTCTTTTGTCAGTAAAAGAATAGTGAAAAACATCTACCGAATTCCTGATCTAAGGCTGCAGCTAATACTCACAGGCAACCAGCACACATGAAAATTTCTTTACTTAAACGCCTCTACGGTTAAAGATTTTTTAATTAAACGCCTACTAGCATGCACCATAAATCGTATAATATACTCATAATAGTATACTTTAGTCTTATCATAATCCTGTCTATGCCTTATATATAATCTAGTAGATTTGATGCCCGTCATTTTCTTTCATCAAAACCCCCCATATGAGAGGAAAAGGAAAATCAAAAACAACTGCGAATACTTGTTATATATATTAGAGTTATAAACCACATTTACTTAATGGTTAACTATAAAAAAAGGGGAATCTAATTGTTATATCAAATGTAAAAACAGAAGCATTATCAAAGTGTACGACCAGCAGCCAATGTGAAAATATAATACATATAGCAAGAATATGAGGTTTGCATTGAAAATATAGTTGTCTCACAAAGTATTAGTTTTTCTGCAAGGAAATCGAAAATGTGTTGTGATGCGATTAGGTAAACATGACCACAAATAGGTATCCTAGAATAAACGATTTTATATAAAATCGTCCTGGCGAGCACAATATGCGATTTAGTTTCCGAAAAGAATATTGAACTTATTTTCATCTCAATTTAAAATATTAATGTCATTTAACTTGAAAATCTGAAAAATAACAATATTTTCATTAAGAAAAGCATCGCAAAAAAATAATAATATTTTAACATATGTCATTTTGTTGCTATCTGCGTAAAATAAATTTCAAATAAACAAAAATAATGCAGTGAAACCTGTGTATAACAATACTGTTTGTAACGATAAATCTGTCTTTAGCTGATATTTCATTGGCGCCAAATCTTGGTACCACCATCAAATGCACAAGCCGCCGAAATCGTCGGAGTCAATCGGCTCATTTGTTACTCGCTGCATTTTGATATACTTTGCCCGCCATTCTGAGAACTAAAGTTTGGGCTTATTCACCCTCCTATATTTCCGCGGGCTGAGGAAATACGTTTACCAAATTTCATCGAAACCTTTAGCCGTTCGGAAGTGATACTAAACAAACATGATACATTGAAGCGCTCAAGTGTCCGTAAAGCCGCTGGTGCACTTTGACCGGTCAGCGCAGGAAAGCAAACGAAACAAGATAAACAGGTGACATCTTCACCAAAAGGAAAACTCTCCAGGTCGGTA